CCTCCACAGACAGTTTGGCGACGATACAGCTGGTTGGCGAGCGAGTTGTCAGCAAGCCGTGAGGCAGCAGTAGGAATCTTGCAGGTTCGTGCGCGTCAAGGCCGCAGCCCCGGCGCGCGATTCTCCTCCTCGCCGCTCGGCTGGTTCGTCCTTGAAAGCAACCGTAATGGGCGAGCAATTGCCAGACAGGAAAAGCCGGCCCCCGGACAGAAGAGGCGCCGTCCGCGCCGTCCGATTGCCGGTGTCCCGTCTGGAACCATTCACGATGACTCTGGTCATGGTGTCCGGATGGTGGCAGCCGGAGAACCGCTGAAAAACACAGAAATAGCAGCAGCCGCTGCAGCGAACGTCTGTCAGCGGCCATGCTTCCCCCTCTCTTCCTTTAGCCCTTGCTTGTCAAAAAAATCATAAAAAAAAGAAAGGAAAAAAACAGAATCTTGGATCTTGGATACAATTTTGCCTCATTTATATTTTACAATGTTATAATAAGGTATATTATAATCGCAGTATAACAAATAAAAACAAGTTGGAAGCACGTTGTAAGTTGAACAACCAATATTTTATTAAAAAAAGCTTATAATTGCTATGTATTTAATTACTTTTGAGCTAATTATTTTGAAACAGCCAATTTGCTTAGTTTGCTCTTTTTACAACAGATTCCTTGACAAGAAGAACTCTTTATTTACAAACCAGTAAAGTTGTTCCTTTCACTAACGCGAGCTTTCAATTTAAAGGTTCTATTTTGAATGTTCTCTTTTATTCAGCACTCGGGAAGAGGCGTTGTGTAGAAAAAAGCCGCGATTGTTGTAAAATAGGTTGCGCTGAAAAATCATTTACTTCTAGAAGTTAGAACTCTTCATTTATTTAACGATTGTGTCTTAGATAATTGGCCTAGATCTGAAAATAGATCATCAATATAAAAACGTTCTACATACGTGACCATAGACACTAATCCTCTATAAAACGTGGTGAACAAGAGACTGAATTGCGCACATTTCTTATAACAATTTAAGAAATTTTCCTTCCCTCTCTCGGTTCCACGAAACACGAAGGCGAAACTAATTGAGCCGGATTTGAATATTTTGTGATTTTCAGCGACGGTTTCCATTCTTGTCGCTCTAGGTGGTTGGTGGTCGTACATTTATAGAAATCGCGGTGTAATTATACGCGCATGGAAAGGACTGCCGTTCGTCTTGGCTTCGGACTTGAATTACGTGACTCAACAACTTCGCAGCTGGTTTTTGCGCCTCGCCGTTCAAATTACCGCGTGCTACAAAAATTCCCTTTGTGAGATCTCTCCGCGGAAATTTTCGCTTTCGCGCACGCAGACGGACGTGTATATTATGTGTTTGACAAGCTCGTTTTGTACTTTGCCGGCGCATAAATAGATTACGCGACAAATCGCAAGGGTTGCTCAACGGGGTGCGCCCTCGTTCGCTTGTGCGTACAATGTTTTGTTGTTTTGCGCGAAATCTTTTTAGCCCTTCGTCGTCCGTCGTGCCATTCAGAAGCCGTACAGAAAATGCTCGTTTGTTCGCCGGCTCGTATTTATTTCCAACCGTATGAGTGTGTGTGTGCCAATGCCAACTAACACCAAACCACACATTGCACTCGCGCGCGCGCGCGAGACCCACCGTTACATCAGCCCAAAGTCCAATATCAATACACAACATGATACTTATTTCTGCTAATTCAGGCGCCGCGAGAGACAAACGAGCTCGCCTTGCCCCAAAAAATGGCTTGCAGTTGTATCAAAAATGCGAACCATCAATATTCTCCTAAAAATTTTGTCTGATTTTTTTAAGTATTCAAATTGAAAGGTTTAAAAGAAAACTAAGCATATAGATTGCAAGTAAATCTTAAGTGATAAACCCTCCATTTATCTATTTTTTGTTTTTGTTTTATTGAAATTCCAGTTTTAGGAATTATCTGACACCTTATTGTGGGACAAAGAATAAGAAACAGAAAAAAAGGAATTTTAACAAGACGTAACTTCTGAATTCTTGTGAAATCGCCAATTGATTTTTGATTCGCGCGCAGTATTGTCATTATGATCAATTCAATTTTTGCGAAATTTTCCTTATACAAGATTGATTAGAGAAATCCAGATTTTAATGGATAAACTTTATTTCGTTGATTTTCATTCAAAATTTAAATATGTTTAGTGTAAAGATTCCATTCAGTGAATTTTGAAATAAGTTATATGAGAAAGAATTTATATTTAATGTAAATCGTTATAAGCATAGTTTGATCAAAAGATATAAATCATTAAATTTTGTCTATTCCGATAAGTTAATCACTTTTCAAAAATTGACAGGATTGCTTTTTAAATTAATGAAAAAGTATGTCCATAAAATTGCAATCATGAATCACAGTTTCCATTTATTTTATTCAATTTTGCTACTTCAACAATACAATAATATAAATACATGATTGTGCCTTAACAGAACAATTTTCTTAACATTTCAAATTTCAAGGAGAACTTATTTTGAGTACAAATACTATGCCTGAAAATTCATACACAAAAATTATTCCTTTTCCTTGTGGATTCTTTTTTAGCATGGTTATGAATAATTTAACCTGACACTTAACTTCAGGCCAAGGTTTCTTTAAAAAAGAAACACATATCTTACATGCATAGTGACTAAACAAGTGGACGAGGAAAATGTTAACTTATTGCTAATTATGTGCTCACGAAGGTGGTAATTCCGAACGAAATGCCCAAATACAAACTCGCTCGGCCACCCACAGTGAAATTCGATACTCCTGTGTCAATTCGCCTCGAATGGTTGCATGAACTGCGCGGAGAACTTTGCCAATTCTGTGCACTGCAGCTAAACGTTTAACAGTCCGGCAATTAATTAGTCGTCTAATAGCTAAATTGCATACACGCGGTACAGAGCCGGTTTCACCGCGAGGTTAACACCGCCCGTTAATTAAAAGAACAAGATCGGGAAAATGAGAGAGTTTCTCACGTCCGCGCCCGCGATTTCCCAGCAATAAAAATGTTGCGATTCTGCACGAGAAATCGATTATGGTCTTTTGATCCCGGCGGCAATAAATAGGGAGCGGGAAAGATCAGTCATAAATAATATATTTGGGCAATAAAATATGCTAACTAAGCAGCGCAGTGGCGTGAGAGACCACAAACCCTCGCTGCTCTTGGATGCTATGTCATTTTTTTTATATACTCACTTTTATATCAGAGATGCACAATGTTGCTATTTCGGCTTTTGTTACATTGTTGCTCCCTCTTTCTTTTGAATTTCTGAGAAAAAGCCTGGGTTTGCTGTGTGTGTAATTCTTTCTCCACCTTGGGTCGCGGCGTATATTATACATTTTTTATTAAAGCCGACGGAAATTGTTTCCTTCTCCGTGGCGTGGATGGCGAGCACAAGCGGATTCCTTAATTCAGTTTTTACATTCACGGGCGGTCGAGAGGAAATTTCCGGCTGAAATTCTGAATATCGTGTTAATATTAATTGATTGATGATTTTTTTTTAAATTTTTCATGGTATCAAGTAATTGATAAATTAGGCTAGATTTCATAAAGGAAGGTTCAAAGTGTTCACTCAAATCGAATACAGCGATCTTTTTGTCAGGGTGACGTAATCAACTTCAAAATATTGAAGATAATATTCAGTGTAATTTTAATTTAATTCAAGTTATTTAAAAATTAAAATTCTTCATAAGTAAAATATTATCACTCGATAAAAATAAATGATTTCAATTTGGAGAATAAAACCAAACAAAAATATTTTTTAAATAAAAAATAAAAATCAAAGGGGTATTTTACTCAAAATAATTGTTCTCTAGTTCACATCAAATTCGATTCATTCTAAGGCAAAAAGAACGAAGAAAATTTTGCACCGGAAAGGTAGATCTTTGCGAGCAATGTTGTGATTAGGGAAGTTTCATGGGGCCTCGGAGGCGGTCAGCGTTGGTGCGGAGGCCGGCCGGCCGGCGAACAGTGAGAGTTGGGGTGCATGTGTGTGTGTGAGTGCGTCGTCGGTGGGAACACGGCAATGCTAGGTTGGTGTGCCGGCGGGCGGTGGTAGTAATCGATAACGGACGGACGGAATTCTATTTTAGGCGCTGGTTGCATAACCCTTCCATCCATCGACCCTCCCCTACAGCCGCTCCACCCGCGCCCCCACCCACCCACCCACCACCCTCGTCGCCTTGCAAAAAAGGCTTAGCGCGCGCGAGACAAACTCTGTGTCGCGCTCGGCGTGCATTCGCGCGCGCCTCCCTTTTATTTGTTTACCTCGATTTTTCGCCAGAGTGAGAGATTTTATACCTGCCCGCGCGCGCTTCCTTGTCCGCCGACCCCTCCAACACGCTTCCTTGTCGCGGAATCCGAGAGTTGTGGGCTCCTATTTCGGTCTGAAAACGTGGGGATTTGCTCTCCATAAATGGAACAATTTAAAGGAGAAATGCCGCGATACACCAAAGGAGAAAATTGCCTTCCAATACATCAACAAATTGTAAAATAAAATTCTAGCAATAAAAGATTACCAATTTCAATTATACTTTTTATTTAATTGAACAGAATTTTATATTTTATTGTATATTTTCATTGATCAATAAACTTATTACAAAAATCAATTTAAATCCATGAAATACACTTAAAATTTCACTGTCAATATTCAGTTTCAAAATTTACCCGTTAAAGTTATCGTCAGGAATAAGGGATTAATTATCAGTCTGGACTGAACCCTATAATTCAAAATCAGGCCATCAATCAAACATAGAAGTGAAGCGGCTGAAATTAGTGGCCTAAATAGCTGGATGCCTGTGGCTGGATGGCTCTCGAGTCTGTCGGCGGCGATGCCCTCTCGAAATTATTTTGACCACTTTGATTAACCCTCGTGCTGTCGACCGGACAGAAAAACATTCGATCGAAACACACACACGCTCTCCCACGTTGCCAATTCATCTCGCTCGCATGTCGGCCCACTTTCTCTTTTACTAATCCTCAACTTTTTTCTGTTTCGCAGAGAGAAGAGACAAAAGATAGAAGATATTAAGAAGAATATTAGAGATGCAATAATTGTAAGTATATGCCTACATACGAAGCAACAAGTTTAAGCGCTGCTCGCGGACCCAGACTGACGCCGCCTTGTTCTCTTTCAGACCATTACAGGCGCCATGAGCACCCTGTCTCCTCCTGTGTCGTTGGAACACAACTCCAATCAGGGCAGTGTAGACTACATCCAGGATGTGGCGTCGCAGCACGACTTCGACTACCCTTCAGTGAGTACATTGAAAATTTCTCTTTTTTGAGCACAAATGGTATAGAAATTAACTGGAAATGAAATATTTTTGATTTTTTGATCAGTGGATTGATTTATAATTAAAAATTATCTAATTACAAAGGAATGTATTACATTTTTAATTGATCAGATAAATTTTTAAAATATGCTATGAAATTTTTATAATGGTGAATATCTAAAAAATTTCAATTAAAAAACCATAACAATAATACCGTCTCAAGTAAAGAAAAAATTGAGGAATATTTCTAATGAAAACTAAAACAAAAACCTCAAAATATTAATTAAGCGAGTTAAATGGTCTTTTTCGCATCAAAAAATGTACAAAAAGATCATTTTAGTTTTGTGTCCAAATATTTCCCTATTTTAAAGCAAAGCATTAAACAAATCGTACTTGAAGTTTAAATAGCCCATTCGCTATTTTCCACAGCTCAAAGTGTCAAAGTTAGTGGCCCAACTCAAACGGCTGGCTTTAAATGTTTTCTTTTACTGCCACTCGCGTGCATTACAAAACTCTGTCAGCCGAACTTGTTGAAAGTACACCTTTAATTTTAAAAAGTCCGACTCGAAAATAGCCCAGCTGGGCGAAACAAGCGGATTGTTTCAAAATAAGCCCGGTCATTGAAACAAATGTTGAGTGGCTCTCAAAAACAAGACCGCGGAGAAATAAAATAATCTCGCGAGCAGGCGAAAGAGTCGCGGCCGCTCGCGCCGCCGCGTTAAATTTCTATTTTTTGTTTCTATTCTTCTCTTTTTTTTCTATATTTAGCCCGCACAATGGAGGCGACAACACAATAAACGCTGCACGGAAAGGTTCAGAAATGTATCCTTGAGTTTGTCTGGCTTCGCTTGGCTGACATTTGCCCGACCTTTATTAAACTTCGCTTCCTTCATCTGCATGCCAGTCCGAATTTGCTGCTAATCAGCAAAACTTTGAATGTCATCCCGCGGAAGGAAGGTGCACGGCCCCTGCGTGGGTAGGCAGCCCCGCTCGGCCTTTGCGTGCAAACGGTTGCGTAAATACTCGGCCTGCAGGCGCCGTCTGAATTGCACTCGTCAAATTATTTCAAAATGAAAGTAAAAAAAAAAAAAAATACTCGCGCGCAGCTTTCGGCCGAGTTAATGATGCAAGCTGTTGATAACGGAGGACACTTATTTTGAGGCACATTCGCTTATCAGGTTGCTGATAACGCGCGCGAGCTCACCTTTTATTTGACGACGAATAAAAAATGTACGCTCTGATACCACACGCTTTCTACAAAAGCTGCACGCCCTGCCGGCGGTGATAGCAAGCGTTTGCAGATGATTCTATCCAGAAAGTGGCCTTTTCATGTTCTAAATTCTCCAAATTTGAAAATTTATGATTTTTTTTCTTTTTAAATATTATTTATTATATTATAACTTGATTGTGGATACGCAAATATTTAGTTGTTGTATGAGGAAAGTTATATGAATTAATAATGAAAATCATCAACACAAAGGAAAAATTATTTGTTTGTTTGAAACGCAGCGAGAGGAATAATGAAATTGGCAGAAATTGTTACAAACAACCCATTTCCAACGTTTAGAACTGACTGAGTTTCTCAGGTGGAAAACGGCCGGTTCCAAGTAATAACGCATTAATTGTCAAGAGTGGTCTTGTTTCCTTTCCTGTTAATTACTCTGCCCTGTTTCACCGTCGAGTGGAAATCGCTCGAACTGGAGATCTTTATGTGTCTGTGTGTGTGTTGCACACGTTAATTGCAACATACAAACAGGGGTGGCTGGCCAGCGTACGCTGCTCGCGACAGTTCTCTGAAAACGTAATCAATGTGCTTGTGACGTGTTCCAGGAATTCTACGAGCATACAGAAAGATTATGGAAGGACAGAGGGGTGCAGGCGTGCTACGAAAGGTCCAATGAATATCAGCTCATAGACTGCGCCAAATAGTGAGTACCAAACTTTTTATCTATGTATAATCCGCTCTAATCTATTGAGTAGAATATTTTCTACAAAAAAGATGATGCTCCGTTGGTTTGCTTAAAGTGGTGGAATCAAAATTTGCGGATTTTCAAGAGATGATATTTTAGGGACTAAAAATGATCTAGCAAAGGACTTAATTTATTCAAGAATATTTTAAATATTTACTTGAATTTAATGAAATTACTACAACTAAATAAGAAACTAACACAAATATTTAAGTTTGTTGCTAGCTAACTTAAAACGCGAATTCAAGTTCAGTGGCAGCATTGGATAGACTAATCAAGGGAAAGGCGTGAATGGAGTGGCCCACCACCGGCCTGCCGCTTTTTTGTTTGGCGCACCCGTCTGCACTTCGTCGCGAACCCAAATAAACATTTTTAAAGTTCCCAAGGGGCCCCGATTCGGGTCCCCGGCGATGCCCTGGGGCTGCATTTATTTTCCGCTTGTATCGGTAATCGGATCGGCTTTGGAATGAAATTGCGAGGAATTAGTTTGACTGAGAATAAAAATGTAACTGGCTGCGCGGAATCAGCTGAGTGCGTGAACCAGCTGGGAACGAACACTGCTAGCGCCCTCCCGATCGATGTAGGCCCTCCCTGGCTCAGCCAAGCTGCGGGCGTCTCCGCCGCCGCCGCCGATATTCTCTCTCTTCGCCGCCTCATCGCGCTGCCCCCGACCCACCAAAACTCCACAGCCCAAAAGCCTTCTTTTTCTTTGCTCTCCGTCTCCCTCCATATTTGCGGTTTTGCACAATTTCGTTCCAGCTCTCTGCTCAGGCTTACCTAACCGCTAATGCTGCTTTTTTACTCAAACCAGTGCAAACGTTTTTACTTTGACAATCAATCTCAATTCGAGGAAGGCGATTGATAAAGTATATTTTTCTTCAATTTTTTAAAATGGAAAAATAATTTTTCACGTTGTTTCATATTTTTATAAATTAAAATAATCCTCAAATAATATTGATGATGATATACAAATTAATACAATTTTCATGAATAAATAATTTTTATTTGAATTTAATAATTAAAATTAAACATACATGAGTCTACATAACATAAACATTGTTGTTCTGATACGGGAAACGTGAAGGTAATGAGAATGAGGTAGTCATGTTAAATAGAATATTGATTCCAAGAATGACTCCTTGATAAATAGAGGTTGCTTACAATTACTATTAAGTTGGTCTGATTAATTGTAAGATAACATTTGATCTTCTTTTTTATTCCTGTAAAAGGCACCGTGGATTATATTTGTTTGATTAGTCATGGTATTTTAGTAGCCAATCTCTAAAGCAATTAAAATACCAAAATTTGATTCACTATCCCTCCATTATTATTATTTTTTTTTCGTTTTACAAAGTTTGCTTTTCAGAAAAAAGGCTAAATTATTTAATGGCAATAGACGATATAAACAAAAATTATATTCAGAAGCTTCCTTTAAAAATGAGATAATGCTGTGTTTGTATTAGATAGTTATTTAGGGAGTGATCAACTAAAAGTTCAATTCAATCATACAATGTGGGGTTACCGCGGCGGCCGAGTCTGTATTGATGTCGGGCTTTTTAGCAGACATCTGCTTCTCTTTTTTCAACTTTTTTTGACAGAAGAATAAATAATAATTATTATAATAATTCTTATGGAATCAAAGTGTCAATGATATTTTTTTATACATTAATTGAAATCGACATTGTTTCTATATATTTTATTATCTCATTTCGCTCCTTCCTATTTAACATTTTTTTATTTATTTATTTTTCATCAAATTTTTTATATTTATGATTAAATTTTAGAAAAAAAATGAGCATCCAAAAGGAATTTGCAGTAGTTTTCAATCACAGATCACAACTATTGAAATAAGGAATTAAAATTTTATGAAATGTATTTCCATGAATTTAAGTTGCTGCAACTATTATTGCTGCAATATTATATTGCTCAATATAAAATTGGACATAGCCTTTTGCCAATGAACCTCCACGGCCGTCAATTTGAGCCTCCCTGCTGAGGCTCACATCAATTTTCCTTATCCGATCGGCATCTAACTAACCGAAACATAATTTGCTGCGTTTTTATCTCGAAAAAACAGCTCGTTGGTACAATGTTAGCCTGGCCATATTTGCGCAAGATAAAGTGAGAGAGACGGAAAGAGAGAGAGAGAGAGCGGGGGTGGATCGGCTGGTTGGTTGGTTACATAACCGCACGCGTGCTGCCGGCGCTTTATTCAACACGGACCCCCGTTGACGCGCTCCATATTAATGGATCGACCTACGCCAAGCTGTTTGACACGCGGGTGCCTGCCAGAGGTCACGACACCCTAACAACAAATTGCATTCGCGAGAACAACACTGGCGAGTGCCCCCCGCCGCGAGTGTTAGTCTTTTTGCGTGTCACAATGCGGCAGTGAGTCTGAAACAAAACGAGAATGGCCAGAGCAAAGAAGAAAAAAACAGGCCGCTCGAGACACTTGGAGTGGCCAATTATTTTATTGGTTCCGCACTGCAATCACGTGCACGGTGAATGTAAAAAATTCTAAGTCAAGAAATTATATGATAAAATTTATTTGGTTAACCAAACGTTTTGCAGTCGACCAAGAATGAAATGAGGCAATAATATCAATTTATAATTTAAAGTAGAAAATTTATAAATAAATATCAAATTTTTGCTGTTTTGAAATTGCAAAACTATGTGGGAAATGTTTCGTATATCAAGCGTAAATAATTTTGATTACTAACACTTAAGGTTGATGTTTCAGCTTAAAACCTTTCTTCTTGATAATTTTTTTAAATAATCAATTTAATAATATTGTGAACATATTTACACCTTTTATTCTAATTATTTTGATGTCCGACTTGTAGTTTTTGAATCTACTTAAATTTTTTATTCTCTGAAATCAAATATTTTGAATTTTTCCAGTAGCCATCAAGTTTTTTTAAATTCCATTAGATTTTAGCTGTTTAACTCCAAATATTGCCTTTTTTAATAACATTTTATCCGAAACCACAATCATAAGTCAGTTGCAATGGCAAAAAATTTCACTTATTTATATTTTTAAGTGATTCAATTATAAAACGTAATGTATATGCCTCTCTCTTTCAACTAATTTTTCCAAACTGGAATTTTTCAACTGGAATGTACAAAATCCAATATTCAATTTTTTGTAAGCCTTGAAAACCAATTGCGTCAGTTTCAGCTTAATATCGGAATAAATAATTCCTTGATTTTATGTAGAATAAAAAGTAGACAATATCGTTTTAGTTTTCCAAGTTGGCCAAAATTTGTTCATTTTGTCAATAATTTCAGACGCGAAACCAATTTAGAGCAAACGAAGACCAAATTAATACTGAATTTGGCCTCACACGCTTCTCTGAATTTCTTTTATTCTGCTCAAGTGGTTGCCTGTAACACGAGGTGGTGTGGCGGACAGTGGCAGAAATTGCTCGAAATTGCATTTAGGTGGTCGCCGCTGCTCATTCACACTCGCGCATTAAAACTGGCGAGAGAGAGATTTGCGGTGCATCGTTCTCTCTCTCTCTCTTTTTTGCAAAACTGTTGAATGTGCGCTGCTTCTGGCGGCAGTGCTGTTTGCTCAGCCGCTTGCAAATGAGACTATTCCGCCGAGCCTAAAGTATCGATTTCGCCTCGCCAACTTCCAAATCAAGTCTCCTGGAAAATTGCTTATCAGATGAGGCTGAAAATCCGCCAACAAATTTAGATTTCGGTAAACAGTGCGCGGGTGATCACTTCTGGGAATAATTTGACAACAACACAGCGGCTCACCATGTGTTTGCTGTGCCATCAAAAAGTAGCGCTCCTCCCCGAGGCTCCAAACCACAGTTTAAAGTTGGTAATTTTCCGTGCTTTAGAACACTGATAGAGTAATAAAAAAGTTGCAAAATTATGCTGATACTTTTCAATATTATTACTTTTGATTTTGAATGCATAAATAATTCTCTTGATGTTCATAATTTCCTTGATGATCTCTTAAAGTTTAAAGAGTTAAAATGTATATCATGATGAAGCAACAACACCATTTAAAATTTTAAATTTTAATTTTTCCAAACTTTTTTCATATTAGTGTTGATTTTTGAACAATCATTTCATACTAATTGTATTTAAAAACTTATATATGAATGAAAGACAGCCTTTTTAAGCTAAAAAAAAAAAAATAGTTTAAGCTACAAGTTTGTTCTGTAAATTAATTGGCATTAATTTTATTGTCAAAGCTGTAGATTATTTTGATCAATTTTTATTCAAATATTAAATTTTAAATTTTGTTACCTACATCGTTAATTTTCACCTAAAATCCCATAGTTCAATTTTTTAAGTAAACTAAAATTTCCTACTTAAACCTAATTTGATTTGTGCAATTAATTTAATTGATTACAAATTGCTTGTAGTTATCATAAATGAACAAAATTTTATCCCTTTATTTTCAATATTTCAAAAGTGACGTTGAGTTCTTACTTGGTAAAAATAATCAAACTTAGCTTGTGTTGGGTTATTTTTGATAGCAGTTTTTACATTGGCGTCATTCGAATAAAAACACTCTGATCAAAAGTTTCTTTTGGCACCTCTGGATTCAGCGTCGGCCGCGGACTTCCTCCAGATTTCCTGTGTGTGATTCACCCGTCCGAATGAGGTCCAACTCGTTCCGATAATGATTCCGATGGCACCCTCCAAATTTATATGAACTGCGCGAGCGTTTCGCGCTCCACTGGCAATACACCAACCATGTTGCCGGCTATTTTTACATCGGGCATAGAGAAAGAGCGCGGCCCGTTCGTTCACTCATAATGTGTATAAATCCATCCTGATGTTGCCGCTGAGCCGACAGAGAAAGAGCCCACGCGTCTGAACGAACAGACCGGACGGTCGCGTTGATGAATATTTTGTCTGCCGGCAGCGAGCAAAAATTGATTTGTACTGCCGTTTGGTTCAATCACTCAAACGGGCACCCCCCTCCGCGCCCG